TGCTGCCTTGATTAGTAAGATTTTCTGGGTATCCCCCAAAGTTTTGTGTTGGGCTTAGAGCTATGAGCGGCCTCTCAATTTGCAGGTAGATGCTGTATTCAATTGAACTTGGTTTGTCTGTAGTAACTTAAAGCTCTTGCCAGGAGGAAAGGAAAAGGCATCTTCTTTTTCTAATTAAAAAAATAATAATTTAAAAATATTTATTTATTGTAAAACTAAGAGCGTGACTTGGCCTGAAGTTCTCTTTGCTTTGGATTAGGAAAGGTTTATTTGTATGATGACTTTCTCACCTGCTGCACTGCTGCAGTGATGATTTCCTGTAGTTCTCTTCGGCAGGTATCCCCTTTTCTTGCTCCTAGGGTCTTTGACATCATTTTATCTCCTGGTCTCTTACTCCTCTAGTATTTTTCAGAGGACCCTTGGGAATTTGACTGCAGGGCTCAGCAGATACGGTGCTTGCAGATAGGGCTATGAAATCTTTACTTGATGTCAAAGTGTTTCTAGGTTTCTTGAGCAACATCCGTAGTGAAGTGGGATCCCAAATCTCCAGCTAGATATAATGTATTGCAACTTGGGTTTGGGAGTCTCTGCTTAAACAGTGGAGACTTTAGCCTACTTAGTGCCTGTAATTACTAGTTGATATTTATGACCTTGGGAGGGTGGGAGGGTCCGGTGAAGACAATTTTGGATTTCAGCCAGGGACCAAATACTCTTTATGATGGGAAAGTTTTTGGGTGGGTTCCAACATGCTGCCTAAAACATCCCATATATCCGAGTGCCTTGTCTTGCTGATGGCCAGGAGAGCTCTAGAAATGTCTGTGGCATCTCTACCTCCTGGCTTAGCTGGAGGCTCTGAAGTGTTGAAGTCCCACCTGTAGCTGTGGCCTCGGCCGTATTGAGCTGCCTCCAGCTGTAAATGTTTGGAAGGAATTTTTCCCTTGTCATCTCTATTTAAATGGAGAATTGCTTTTCTTTGGCAATCCTGCCGAGCAGCATTATCTTCCTCCTGCCTTTGTAAGCCATAGGCACCAAGCGTTTTCACTAGACCTCCCACAAGGATGACTGTTGTGTCAGAATCACTAAAATGTCTTTCTTAGTGGCTCCGTTTAGAAGATGAATGACTTTCTGAAGTTAGTGTGAGCCACAGCGTGGCTACTTCTTACAGTGTGAACAGTCTGAACTGCCTTAGCTTCTTTCTCTTCCCAGACCTATATTCCCCTTTCTTCTTCTTCTTTCTTCTTTTCTTTCTTTTTTTCTTTTTTTCTTTTTTTTCTCTTTCCTCTAAAGTCTTTACACTGGGAAGTCCTGGCAGAAATTAAGAATGAAATCCCTGTTAAAAGCCCCTCAGAAGACTAGAGATCCATTTTGCTCAAAGGACTTGGGAGGAACCTGAAAAGAGGGTTTTTATGCTGCAATTGGAATCTCTTGAATCACATCTCCCTTGCTTTGGCTGAGTTCTTAATCGTGTTGTGCTGAGAAGAGTAAACAATTTTGTAAGATGGTCATGATGTTCTCCATCCATTTCCCATTTCTGCTGTTGACTTCTGTAGAGCATCAGCATCCATCAAGAGGACTA